GACGGTACCCGCGGGTGGGCCGGGTGGGCCGTCTGCTTCTACCTGCCACTTCAAGTTGCGCTTGTCTCCACAACAGGTGTCCAGGAAAGACATTTTGTTTTGAGGAAACAAAACAAAAACAAAAGAAAAAACAACCCAAAATAATTGGGCTGAAGAAGAACTCTTTAGGTCTTAGAAGGCAGCTCTGATTTCAGTAGACGGAGACCGGGGTTTGGGTCAGTCAGATCTAGATTCAATCCCAGCTCCACCCGTTCCTAGCCTTGTGACTTTGGACAAGTTACTCTCCCTCTATGAGCCTCTGTTTCCACATCTGTAAAATGAAGGGAGGTGGATGGCGTGGTTAATATTTTCAAGTTCCCATTCTGTGCCAGGCATCATGCATGATCTCATTAGACTTTACAACAATGCTGGCGGGTAAGTCACTTATAGCCCCAATTCAGAGATGAGGACACGGGCTCAGAGAAGTGACTTGCCCTAGGTCACACAGCTAGGAAGTGGCACAGGTCCTGAAACATGTGGAATATTTATATCAGCAAGAAAACATGAGCACATTTACTCTGTACTCAGCAAACATCTAAGGACCTGCTGAGCACATCACCGTCCTAGATGCAGGAGATGCAGAATGATGCCAACCACCATCTGAGGGCACCTACCACATGCCAGGTGTTTGATAGACACACTTCCCTATTTATACAATAGCTTCAAGAGGTGGGTATTTTTATTCTCATTTTACAGATGAGGAAACTGAGGCTCAGAGAAGTAAAGACCTTGCCCAAGGTCTACCGCTAGTAAGTGACAGAGTGGGATTTGAACCCAGGTCTGCAGGCTCCACAGCCCATTCTCCTCCACCCAAGATACTGAGGAAACAAGACTCTGCATCCACCCCTAAAGAGGCACGCAGTCTGGTGGTAGTTTTTAGTGATCTGTCTCCAGGAAGAAGAGTAACCTCCTGGAGTTAGATGAAGTGTCTAGAGGGTTGGGTTTTGCAGGACTGCTAAAGCTGAGGAAGGGCCAGCATTATGAGGTGGACATTGATGAGAGGCAATGCCCAGTCTGACCTCAGCTTTGTGGGACAGCTGCTAGGAGTATTTCTGAGCCTGAGTGTCCTGGGTTCCGCCATTCCAGGGGTATCACGAGAGCTCATTAGCAACAAGAGTCCACAGTTCACTGTGTCCTACCTTTCTACCTCCAGTGTCTGCCCCCAAGAGTTTCTGGGAATTTCTCACAAGTTGGCATGATGTCTTCAGGGCATGTCTGCCACATCTATTGAAGGCTACTTTCTCTGTCAAGGACTAGTTAGTGCCTGGAGTGGGGTCGGGGGAGCAAGGTCAAGGTCAAGGGCAATCACAAGCTCCCATTTATTGGTCACTTACAGTGTGCCAGGTGCTGTCTTAAGTTCTTTACACATATTGTCTCACATGGGTCATGTCCATTATTATTCCAACAATGTTCCAACTTGAACATCCGAAAGCTTTTATTACCTGGAAGTTTGTGGAACCACTCTGGAAGTTTTCCACTTTTGAGTTATCCAAAAACTGAGGGGGTTACTCAGTCTAAAGGGGTCCTTATCCAAGTTTGTGTACCTCAAGGAAGGATTGACTATCATGGTAAGAGTTCAGACTCGAGTTGGGCAAGTCAAGGTTTCAGTCCCAGCTGTATCACTTACTGATTGGGTGACCTTGGGCAGATCACTTCCCTCTATGTCCCTGAGTTTCTCTGTCTGTTAAATGGGTATTATAATAGTAATTATTATCCCTAGAGTTGCCAAAAGATGAAATGAGATCATTGTACTTAGCACAATAAATAGTATTGGTCGTCATTGTTGATGATGATAGTAATAATACCATCTTGTTTAAGCTGTTCTTCCAAAGGCCCCCATTGCCAACAAGGAAATGGAGCCCTGGGGCCCTGAGGTTGGGGGAGGGAGGCACCTGTGTGTGGATATTACCCTTAGGAAGCTGTAGTCTCATTTCTTTGTTCCCTGCCCAGGACCCTCCTCCACAGAGACCTGCAGTCGCTCACAGAAGCCATGTATATCAACCTCCGCACTGTCCTGCTGGGCGACACCGCAGAAGAGGGCAGTGGCTGGCATGAGATGGGTCTCCTCGATTTCTCTTACAGCTTCTTGCTCAGGTGAGCCTGGGCAGTCCCCACTCTCCTGAGTGGAGCCCATCACTCTTGACCTGGGTCAGCCATTAACAAGTGGGAACCATGAGGACTTCGTGGGTGGGGAGCCATTTGGAACACTCAGGGCAAAGATTGCAAGATGACATTTTGCACCTGGGACCCCAGGTAGTTACCTGGCTTAGCCTGCAAATAGTAAAGGAGACATAGGCCAAAAACGAGGGTCATATTGGTTAAGATGTATCATGTCACTCATAAGTAAGATGAGTGACATTGGGGGTTTAAGCAGAGGCTCAACATGGTTGGACTGTTTTAAAAGCCCTCTTTGGCTGCTGGATGGAGACTAGGCCACAGGTCAGGTGTGTGGCAATGAGACAGAAGCAGGAGGACCTGTTGGGAGGGCAATTACCTGCTGTAGTTGCCCAGGTGAGAGATCATGGTGGCCTGGACCAGGGAGGTGACAGGGACTTGGTGAGCATTTGGAAGATGGAGTTGATGGGAGCTGAAGGATTTGAGTGGGGCGGTGGCAGCGATGGAGGAGTGTGGGCAGAGACAGTGAGGGAAAGAGCTATAGTAAGGACAGTTCATTGATTTTTGGTGGTGCTATTAACTGACCAGTATTCCATAAAAGAAGGGATATTTTTGCTCTAAAAAATTAGGAGGACAGAGTTTCAGTATAAAGGACAGGCATTCGCTGACACATATGGGCACACGGGCACATTTATGACACGTGTGTGTGTATGTGTAGGCTCAATCTGTCTTAATGCATTTAGTCCTCACAGCAGCTCTATGAGGCTGGTACTTTACAAACCCCATTTAACAGATAAGAAAACTGAGGCCTGGAGAGCTGAAGTCATTTACCCAGAGTCATCCCATAGTTGGGGTCATGGCAGCTCTGGCTGCAGAGCCTCTCAAGTGTGACCCTGAATGTGTAAGAGGTCCAGCTTTTCCTCATTTTCCCCTGGAGTGGTTTAGATACCATTGAGGGCTGTGATTGGTCTGGGGGATGCTGGTTTGGGCCACCCTGTCATTGTGGAGCAAACTGAGGGCCAGAAAGGGGCAGCTAAAACCACCCAGCAAGTTCATAGCAAGGCAACTCCCAGGTCTCCTGGCTCCTGCCACTGTGTCCCTGTGTGGGCAAAGATTCAGAAGAGAAGCTGTGGCACACTGGGGGAGGTGGCGGTGATGGCGGCAGCTGGGCGTGTTTGGGCCCGTGGTTTAGCAGGCATAGCATGGGGTCAGATATAAGTAGACCCCTGTGTTTTTAGGACCTGAGGCCTGGACGGGAGCTCCTGCCTCCTTGCCTGGCAGCCCAGGGCCTTCTCATCGCCATCTGGAGCCCCTGAGGGAGAAAGGGGTGGCTGAGTTGGAATACCGTCACTGATATGGAGGTGCAGGCTCACATGGCCGCAAACCAGGAGATGCCATCACTTAAACCTTCCCGTGCAGGGCCCTGACTCACTCAGAGTCACATCTAAGTTTTTACGCTGGCCTAGAGGATCTTACATTGTCATCCCTGATCTTTTCTGCTCTCATCCCCTACTGGTATCCCCATTGCTCTCTCCTGTGTCGTCTCACCGGCCTCCTTGCTGCCCCTTAAACAGGCCAGGCATACTCTACCATCGAGGCCTTTGCAGTTTTTGTTCCCTACGTGTCTGCATGACTCTCACCTCAATTCATCCAAGTCTCATCTCAAGTGTCCTCTCCTTCAGAGAGGCCTTTTCTGACCTCCCATTTAGTAGGATGGCCCTCCTCTCTCCTTACCTAACCCCATTCCAGCTTTTTCTCTACAGCTCCTAGCGCCACCTATAGGTTATGTGTATTTTCACACATGCGATTGTTGGTCTTCAGCAGGTACTGTGTTATTTTGATGTGGAGGTGCCTCAGGAAGGGCCCTCACTTCCACATTGTGAAACCTTGTGTTTGTTTGTTTGTTTTTTATTGCTTATTTTGGTAGAAATATATGTACAGGGAAAAGGTGGTCTGCTTTAAGAAAAAACCAGTGTAAGTGGGATGACAAATGGTGACAGGTGTTTAACTGCATTGTCACTGGGACCACAGGGCCTGGTGAGAACCGCCTGACCCTGCCAGCTCACTCCTGTCTAAAAGGCGGGGCCATGACTCGACTCCTGCCAAAGGCTGTCAGGTGGACTGTGGGCTCGGGGACCAGATTCTGCCCTTTTTCAGAATGAGATAAGGGGGAAACCAGATTTTGTGTGACTCTCCCCAGATGTTTAAACATACGTTCAGTTTGTTTTAAGGAAAACTCTGTTAATCAAACAAAACACATCTGCAGACTGAATCCAGTGTGTGGGCTGCCCTTGGCAGCTCCTGCCGTAGGAAACAGGGCATTTGTCTGGAGAAGGGGCCCAGGGCCTCACATGTTTAGGGGAGGAACGGGGAGAATTCCTTCTGGGCTGATGCGGAGGCACAAGTAGGCCAGCGGGTTAAACTCTGGAGGAGCTCATTTCAGCTGTTCTGAAGGAAGGACTGTTCCTCTTAGTCTGTGGGATGGGTCAGTCATGGGCCCTCTGTGTCTGCCGGCATGGAGGCTGAGGCCGGAGGAGGGGGAGGGGGAAGGATGCAGGGGAAAGGGGGACAGTAGCTTGAAGACCCTCTAATATTCGCCCAAGATCAGCATTCTCAGCGTTAAGTTCTAATTCACCATTTACCCACCCTCCCATCCATCCGTCCATCCATCCATCCATCCATCCATCCGTCCATCCATTCATCAAACATTTATTGAGGGCCTACTATGTGCCTGCAGTGTGTGGATAAGGGACAGAGTTGGGACTAAACAGGCCTCCCTCAGCCCCCAGCCTCCCTCCTTCCTGCATCCACCCTCTCCTCAGGAAAATCCCTCTCCTGGGAGATCCAGGGGCCAGGAGGAGCTCAAGGGGGAGCAGTGGGGCTTCAGTGGTGTCCCTCTACAGAGGCCCCAGCCTGCCCCTCCCACCACATGGAAAAAGTAAAGACCTGTGATTTTCCTCCCAGGACTGAGGCCAGTGGGCCCAGGGCTGGGGCTGGGCTCCTGGAACATTCAGAGTGGCTGGTGGTAAAAAACCGGTTCCTCTGGGAGCAGTCCATTCCCGTGTGTGTGTGTGTGTGTGTGTGTGTGTGTGTGTGTGTGTGCGTGCGCGTGCGCGTATGTGTGTGTGTACACGTGTATACATGCACCAGAGCGCACACTCACTCTTGTGGCTCATCCTTTCTCCATACCCCACAGACTCTGTCCCTCTCCTGCTTGACCCCTTGGGACAAGCCCAGCCTTCTCTCGGTGGCAGCCCCCATCCCTGCCCTGTCCCACCCTATGTGACCAGCCAGCTCCCAGACAACTTCCGCCCCTTTCTCCTCACTCCAGCTCCAGCTCCAGTGCCTGGACCAGCAACATCTGGCAGCTGTGACGGGGCTGAGTTGCTCCCTCAGCTTCAGGCCTTCGCCCAGCCTGTGCCCTTTGCCAGAACCCTTTTCGCCCCGCTGCTCATCCTGCAGGCCTCAGCTCAGAGCCTGCCTCAACCAGGGAGCCTGCCCTGACTCCCTGTCCTGGCCCGTGGCTCCATCTCAGCCCACTGACCCCTCCCTCCCTGCGCTGCGCCTCACGGGCCTCCTTGCTGCTCCCCGACACTCCCTTCCCCTTCCTGCCTCGGGATGTTGGCACCCACTGTTCCCTCTGCGCTTCCCTGGCTGGCTGGTCCCCATCCTTCAGGTTTCAGTTTAATGGTGAGCCCCTTCCCCTCCCCCTCCCCCCTACCTCTGAACACCAACTGACATACTACTTGTCACTCATTTCTCTTGTCTGTTGTCTGTCTCCTGCACTAGGGTGTCCGCTCTGTGAGGACTTGAGGGTTTTGTCTGTTTTGTTCACAGTGGCTCCTGGGCCCAGAACAGTCGGGCACAGTAGGAAAAGTAGGTGCTCATAGGGTGTGTGGATGAAGAAAGGCTTGTAGGAAAGCTTGTAGGCTGCCATGGTGGGGTTTGGCCCGTGGGAGGGCCTGGCTGGGGGTGACTAAGGAGGACCCATGATCTGCTGTTTGTGCCCCCAGGGCCGGCTACCTGACTCTGTACGGAGTCGAGGCGCTGCCACGGACCCATCAGAGCCAGGCCCAGGACCGCGCCCACTCAGCGGACCTCTTCCACGCCTTCCGCCAGCTCGACCTGCTGCTCCCCAAATTGGCGCGTGGCTCCCTGTCCGTGGGTAAGCGCTGTGGGAGCCCTGGTGGGCCTGGGCAGACTGAGGGACCCAGGGGGGCGTCCAAGCTCAAGAAGGACCACACCTGTAAAATGGGGAGTAGGACCTTCCCAGGAGGTGGCTGTCAGGATTGGCTGAGGTAATAAGAAAAAACACCTTTTTTTTTTTTAGCACTTTCTATGGACTAGATACCAGGTTAATTAAGCATTGTCTCAGCACTCGCAAAAGCTCATCATTTCTTTTATTAACATATTGCTAGAAACCAAACTTTATAACACATTAGCTTGTTTAAATTAAGAAAGAAACATATTCTGTGGGTAATAATTCATAGGTATAGACAGTAAAAATTAATAATATTCACTCTTTCAAGTCCAGCTTCCTATGGAAATCAGTGTTAACATGATTTATATCCCTTCACAGTATTTTGTAGGAATGTTCTATTTTGCAAATAGAGACAGATGTACATGTGTAGAGTGTGTGTATTTACAAAAAGGGGTTATGTCTATTATTTGCAATTCATTTTTTTTAATCTAACAATATAGATACATTTCCCCTTGTCAATACAAACAATGCAATTAGCCGATGCAATTAGATAAGAGAAGTCAATTACCAATATAAGAATTAAAACTATCCCTATTTGCAGATGATCTGACACTATATCTGGAAAACCTCAGAAAATCCATGATAAAATTAACTGAAGAAAAAAAAAAAAAAAAAAATCCAGCAAAGTAGAAGGATATAAAATTAACATAAAAATAAAAAATACAGACCCTTTTCCAGCCCTTCCATATCAGTATTTTGGCAGCCATGCCCCTTCAAAGGGTTGTTGTAATTATTTCCTTGTGTGTGTGGGTGTGTGTGGTTTTTATAGTATTTCATTGTACTGGTATCTCTTCTACCATCTGGTGATTTTATTTCTCTATGACAGTTTCCTGGAAGTGGGTTTTCCAGGTCAAAGGGCATATCTATTAAAGTGTTTATTAGTTACTACCACATCATTTCCAAAAGATGGAGCAATTTCTGTACCTACCCAAAGGGAAGGAGCCCACCAGATGTTATTAGTCTTTCCACTTGTTTGCCAATCTGATGGGCAGACAGGTAGCTTGTTTTAATTTAGATTTTCCCACGACTTTGTCAACATGCAGTTGTCAGCCTTTAAATCCTTGCTAATCTGATGGGTAAGGAAAGGCATCTGACTTTATAGGCATTTCTCTGTCAACTGAAATGAAACATATTTTTGTGTTTCACCAGCCATTTGCTTTTCCTCTCTGTGAGTTGCCTGTTCAAGTCTCTCAGCGTCTTTTTAGAGGCAAACCCTTATCTTATTGACTCCTGCCATCAATGTTGGAAGTTCGGAATCATTATTCCCATTTTATGGGTAAGGAAATTGAGGCTCACAGAGGCCCTTTGTCATACACACACAGCTGGTAGGTGGCAGAGCCAGCAAAATGGAAACTTGGTCTGTCTGATTGCAAAATGCTGTGCATGGAGCACCTGACACATCCCAGCGCCAATTGCTTCTCCAGGAAAGAGTGGTTTCTCCGACGCCCTTTCCTCCACGCTGATGCTCCAAGGGAGTCCGTCCGGGTGGAAGCAGAGGGGAATTCTCCATCCTTCTGGTCACGGCCCTGGGCTGGTTGCAGGCAGGCTGCATTTCCCAGCATAGGCGGCAGGCGGTGACATTGGGAAGGGCTTCTCAGCTCCAGACTGGAGGCTGGCAGGCAGGCCTGTCCCTATCAGAACATAAAATGCACATTCTTTTAATCCTGAACTCCCACTGCCAGGAATTATTCCACAGGCATGCCTGCACACGTCTACAGATATTCATTGCCATGTTGCAAATGCTGGACACAACCTAAATGTCCACCAGTAGGGGCTGATGAAATAAATTATGCACTCACATAAAGGAAAACCGTGGGACTATAAAGCAGAACAGAATGTACTTCTATAGGATGAAATCTGTCATGAAAAAGGTGTGGGACAGTGGGTATAGATATATCTTTTATTTTATTTCCCCCCCAGTTTTATTGATATAATTCACATATGGTACTATGTGAGTTTAATGTGTACTACGTGACTTGACTAACGTACTTTGTGAAATGATTACCACAAGTTTAGTTAACATCCATGTTTTTTAAAAATGTGAGAACATGTATAGAGTTTTGCTTCTGGGAAGGCCGAGATGGGATTGAGAGAAACTTACTTTTACGGTAGACACATTTGAACTTGGAGAATTTCTTTTTGTTATTTTTACTGTGCGCATGTATTACTGCTTCTCTGCTTTAAAATATATAAACATTTTAAAAGAAAACTGACCCTTTTGGGGACCTTAGACCATTGAGTCTGGTGCTTCTCTCACAGTAGGGCATTGGGGGCAGGGGACAGTTAAATAGAGCCCCAAGCTAAGCAAACTGCTTCTTCTAGAACATTCATTTTACTGGATTATTGGGGAGGGCTATTTTTTTTTTTTTTTTTTTT